TCACAAAACAGGCACAGCAACATTTATTTTTCAGCCAGTAGCACAGTTAACTGTTAATAACATGGGTTAGACACAGAGACAGGCATAGATATGGAAATAAACAAAGTCATAGAATGGAAGTAATTGAAAGAGATAGAACATGCTAGGCTTAAAAAGAACAGAGAAAGCAGCAGTGTTATAGAAAACAGGGAGACCAAGAGAGGATTGGCATTGCTTAGGAGATAGTGGCAGCATAACTCCCAATGGAACAATATTTTTGGCTCGGCTTGTAGCTATTCGTAGTTTATCTTATGTTCAGTTATCCATACTGTTTCGTGATGTGGTAGGCTTATTTAAACAAATGGTGGTTTAAATTTGCTTTGTTTAAATTTAAATTTGTTCAAATTTGTTTTAAAGTCAGTTTTTTTTCCCCACTTCTTATTTTTAACTACACAAGCACATCTTCAATGTTATTACAGTAGTCAAAATCTCATAAACGCCCATCAGAAGTTACACCAAAATTACATGGTAGTGCAACATAATTCTTCCAGTCCAAGTGTAGGCATTTCAATTGCATGTTTGTAAAATTATTATTATTAGAATGGGAGACAATTCTAATGCAGAATTAAATTGAAACTTAGGTTAATGGCTCGTCACTCCAATTTTTGCACAGTAAAAAGGACTAAAACGGCTAGTAAAACAAGACTATGGAACATTTGCAGACATTATATAAGCAGGCACTAGGGCAGCACTAACCACAGAGCTTAGTTTATGCAACACTGCAATAATTGATGCAAGTTTAACGTGGCAGTTTGTGGGTAAACAAAATATGGCACTAATTTTCTCCTTCAGGGAAGTCTGCTTTGTACTGCTTTTTTGGGAGTCAGACAGATATCTGACACATGCACGGAAACCCGTCACTATACTTAAGCCTCTAAACCAAACTACTGAGAGTTCCACAATATGAGAGGTAAAATTCTTTTAAGAATTNAAAAAGGCTTCAAAGTTAAGACTGAATTCAGATTAATAATTGCGTTAATAATTTATTATTCACTTTAATAAATTAAATACAGACTTAGATGGAATTTTACCCCAATGGTTTATGTCTAGTAACGAGTGTCCACTCCCTCCCCAGAGTGATACACCCTGATCATCTAATTCTGGAGAATTTAGATGAAAGAGCTGAGGCTTAGGACCCTATGGAGTACTGCTGGAATTTAACAAGCTAAAAATGTGCAATGTACAGCACTGGTACGTTTGTCCAGCTAGGACCACCTTACTTGTTGGGGCTTTGGTTTTCAGGGTTACATGGAATTGAGTTTGAGGAATCCTTTTTGCCAGTGGTTGTTTGCTCCTTCAATTCCATCTAATAAACCAGGGTGACTGGTTCACCATCAACAGTTAAGAGATTTTCACCATAAATACCTAGCAAGATTCTGGCACGAATACATGTCCTAAAGTAACTTAAGAATGCTAGGTAAATGCAGGTACCAGGAACTCCTTGCAAACAGTATGGAGCAGTACTGTACTGATCTACAGGACTCTGTTACAGGCTAAAGGTTTCATACTCTTTATATTTTTTGTGCACCCACAGTCATGGTATTTATATTACATCATGTGAAGCACTTTGAGATGCCCTCCTGACATGAAAGGCAAGATTATTATTATTCAAATCACTGTTAATGATCCATTAACCTATGCTTTTTAGAAAAAAGAAATTTCAGATCTCTGTAACCTACAACTTTCAGCTGCACATTTAAATGACCTCCCTTGTGGTGACCCATCTGGTGACATCTCCCCTCTTTTGTAATTTATTTGTACAATGAAACAGTTTGTTATTAACATAAATAAGAAGAATACTACAACTACATTTCTTTATAGATACAAAACACCTAAATGATAACTATCAGAATAGCAGTGGGGAGAAGAGAGAAAAAAAAGATACAGCCATAATAATAATCCTTACATTTGATATAATGCCTTTCAGGTCAGGAGGGCATCTTAAAGCGCTCAAGATGTACTGTAAAGTGTAATGATTGTGCCATATAGACCAGCGATAGTGGTCTCAATGGCAATCCATGTGGTTTTAGCTAGTTCAACTCCAGCAGTACACAACACTCTCTTTGGGGTTCCCAAACTTTGTGTCTGGCCATCATGCACCTCATATTCTCTGGAATTAGGCAAACTGGGTGATATCTCTAGGAAAAGCATTCACATTCCATTCCAGACACAGGGAAATTTCTACGGGGAGGTGGCGACATATGTGGACTCTCAGTCTGCTTTGAACGATTTTCTCAAGTTGACCAAAAAAATGTATCTATTAAAACACTCAAATGTTTATACGTCTATAAAATATTTTGACTTTATTTCTGAAGAAGCAAAGTTGTGCAAGACAGAAGGCTATACCTTAATAAAAAAAAATGTTTTTTGGGAGGGGGAAACTTAAAGATTAGAAAACAAATTTCATCCACTATACAATTTACAGTATTTCAATTTCATTACAATATTAATTAGACCAAAACAAAATTACCTCCAAGCCAAAAGTTTGATGTGCAAACAAACATCTGGGCTGCATCATCCTGATATTCATTATTTCCACCAACTGTTTACTCAAGTGTTCTGTTCTCTCTCCCACTTGGCTCGTTCTCTACACCAATGAACTGAACTCACCATCCAACCATATCAACTGCTACGCACAATTCCACTCACTATTCATCTTCATCCGAACTTCCATCAGATCAGTGCTAGCTTCACTACCTCTTGCAGTGCAGTGGTTGAATCACTAAATGTTCATCTGCTTCCTTTAAATAGTGCAGTAAATATTCTCTTTCAATTCCTCAAAGAAATAATTTCTTTGTATCTCAAGTATAACCAACAGCTATCAATTCTTAGCTTGATGTCTCCACTCTTTAGCCTTTATATATCAACATTATTGACTTCAGTATTTAATGGATCTCTTACACTGCTAGACAGAGTATAAGAAGTCTGAGGCTTCTAGGCTCTCTTTTCGCCAACAATTCTCTCTTTTCTTTTACAACAATATTGTCGTCTGAGTGATACTACTCTAGCCATTGCTACTCCACACTCCTCTCTCCTGAGCTCAAAAAACTTTTCCTACGTAATCTTTTTCTGTCTATATGTCCACTATGCTGTGACCACAACACCATATTCTAACTCATTCTTTCTGAAGCTTATGGAACTCTCTACCTCCAGCATCTTTCCCTTCCTCCTAGGGTCTTACAAAACACAAGTGGTGCCATTTAACAAATTATACCATTTAATCATATTCAATATGATTACACTCTTTAAGATTCTGAAGGGACTAGATAATGTAGACCACGATAAGCTGTTTTATTGTGTACTGAACAGTAGAACCAGAGTGCATGGCCTGCGATTGAAGGGGGGTAAATTCAGAACACATCTGACCAGTACTGCAATCTGAACATCAAATATTTCTAAGGAGCAAAATGGTGATATTTTGTCTTGAATGAATATACTGCTAGGTAATGACAAGGCAATCAGATGTTGAATTCCCACCAGTGTGACAGCAAATCCACCATTAATTCATATATGTCTGGCATACAACTTAACACATTGTGTTGTCTAAAGCTTAGCTCTTTCCAGAATGTGGTCAGAATAAGCAGAATTATTTTCTCCTCTGTATACCTGTCAGTCGAGCTCAGCTAGTAGCACTCTAGTCTCTGAATCAGAAGTTGGGGGGGACATTCGCTTCATAGCTGTTTATGGGATACTGCTGCACTCAAAATAGCTGCCCAGTTAACACAGTCACGACACATCACAATAGTGAAGTGTTTTTCCAACATGGCATCAATCCATTCAGATTTAGGCTGAACAAATTGCTGGTTACCAAATTATATGATTAAGAGTTAATTTTTACAACTCCAAATGCAGTGAGGATTAACATTACAGTTAACTTCTACGACAGGATTCGGACATTCACAAGAAACTAAGCAAGTGTATGTAAGGGTTTCCTTTTCATATATATTGACAAAAAATAATGTTTGTGGCAAGGACCATCACAATTCATTTTTTTTAATGAACTTTAACAACAAAGCTCCAGATAGCAAAGATTTGTCTTGCCAAGTTTTGGGGTCTAAGGACTTATGGACTGCATTTATTCCATTTAAGCTCCAGCCACAAATGCAAATGAACTCAGTTCAGAGGCTGCAATTCTCTCAACTCACATAAAATAGTAAATAGTAAGAGAAAATCCTGCACTCCAATGCCTAGTATCTGAGAACTTGTCACAATTCTTTCAAATTAAAGTTGATATGAGTTAATATTGTCTCCCTGATTCATTACGCACATAACTATGCATATATGCAACTCTGTCTGATTTGGGTACTCTTAAGCATGGTGGTGGATTTACACATTTCAGACATAAAGTTGACCAAAGAATAAGAACATTCTTGCATTTGATACAGTGCCTTTCAAGTAGGGAGGACTTTACTATAAAATATAGTGTAGTGACTGTATATTTTGCAGGTGAACATGGCAACCAATTTGCACATAGCAATATCCCACAAACAGCTATGAAATGAATGACTAAACATATCTGGAGGATTGTTTGCCAGGATACTGGGAGAAACTCCCTTATTTTTTCGAGTAATCCCAAAAGCAAACAGGGCCCCTCAGTTTAATAATAAGAATACTTGCATTTGATATAGAGCCTTATCACATCTCCAAGATTTCTCATTTGAAGGAAGACACCTCCAGCAATGCAACAATGCCCCAGAACTATGCAAGTTCAAAATCCTGACATAGGGCTTGACCACACAAACTTCTGATTCAGAGATGAACGTACTACCAACTAAGCCACACTGACACCCGACAAACAAAATGAAATGCAAGGTCAATATATGAGAAATGTTATGATATAGCAACTCAAATCATAAGAGGGAATACTCAGTGCATTCAAGCAAGTTTTTTCAACATTGTATAGTTCTGGAGACACAATGTCATAGACACCAATTAAAGCTTCCCATTATTCTTCACAATATGGCTTTGAAAAAGGCATGTTATTGAAAATTGTTTACAGACTCTCTTATGCATATAGCATTATCATATTTTAAACATAATGAAATCAGCTTAGTATTAAATAAAATGTATTTACATATTTACAAATATGTTCAGTGCTCTGAGGCGCTTCCCCTTCTGAAGGGAGTGATGTGGACAAATTATTATTATTGTTAAAAAGGTGTAAGAGTTCAATCTCTATTTCGGGGTGCTGATGTAGGGCTTGCATTACTAATTAATCTACTGAAAGGAGGGGTACTAGACGTGCACGAAGAGAATGGTAGAGTTGGTAGTTGTGTTGGCACATGAGACACTCTCTCCTCACAGATCAATTCCCTAGGATCAGAGGATATGCTGGTGTAAGCAAGGGTCTTTGCTCAATTGGGGCCCATCAGACTGTGACTTGAGAAAACAGCACAGCTAATCTTTTCTGTAATCCCTCCAACCGAAAACTAGAAATGGCACTAATAAGTTGGATGGTGCCTTGCACATCACCCCAATTCATTTTCGTAACTCTTCAGAATTCCTCGACAATTCTATGAATTTCCTCCAAAATAATTCACCAAGAAGATCATTCTCCAGAATGTCCATGAAAGCTCTGTTTATCTGTGGCCATGTAGGACCAGGACCAGAAGTAGCAAATGAAGTTTTACCAACTTCATTATCTCCTTTTTCAGACTTCAATGCCTCCCCTTTGCCATCACTGTGCTGTGCTTTACTGTGTGTCCATCACCCAAAGCTGTACTATCTGTGATGGGCGCAAATGTGCTGGTGCTTGCCTGTGAGAATGGTGATGCTGACTGTCCTGGTGGGTGCTGATGAACTGAGGACTAAATGTCCAATATGCCCATTCTGGCTTCTTGCTGCTTTTCCTTCCTCCAGCTCTGGCTGCACTTCTGTTGCTCCTGACCGATCACAAGAAAACAGTTAAACACAACTGATCCCAGGTAGTATGTGGTTAGCTGCGCTTCTGTGCAGATTGTGGTACTATTCATTTTATAGAATTAACACCAAACAAGTATATAAAGTATGTCTTCATAATTTCTCATACTTACACAAACATTCATTTCAATATAGGTCTGGCTTGGAAAACTATAATGCACGTGGCATTTCATAGCTAAACATAGCCACCATGTATTGCTCACAAAGGAGGATTCAACTGATTAATGTTAATACAGCTGATTATTCCTTTGTACATCACGAAATGCTATGTTTGCCTTTGCATTGAGTGAGGTGCAGAAAAAGATTAGAACAGCTGTATATCACATTAAATGTTCAATTACTCAGATTGCAGGATTCTACTGTTCGGGAGATCAATTGCATGCATTTTTTGACATTTCATTTTGACAGTGCCTGTTATTCCATATTTACTCACATAACAGTGAATAACTACATCTAACTATAACATCAACATAGATCCAAATCACAAAACTAACCTTGGCATTTTTTGTCCTTTGAGACAGCTTCTCACAGACCTTGATCAAGAAACTGCAGCTCTTCTCCACAATGTTATCAAGGTCTATTAACTCCTCTGAGGTTCCTTCCCAGTTTACACCCAGAGCAATCATCCCTTCCGAGTGACTTTGGCATCTATGCATAATGACACCTAGTAGGACTATGATGGCATCATCCATAAAATCAGTCTTTCCTTGAGACATTCTGTGCCATTACAACCACTTGAAGTCTACATTTTCTTGTGCATATGCTTTAAATACCACTTAAGCTCATTTAATAAGCCTTTAAATTGTATTACTGCTTGTTTCTCAATATTTGCAGAACCTAAATCCACTCAAACCATTTGCTGAATATTATTTCATCTTTATGTATATTAACCCATTACTAAAAGTGACCGCCTATGCCCGATGTAAATGAAGAATAGGGTGGAAAGTAAAAGAGAAACAGAAAGAAAGAAAAATCACTGGTGGCACATCCAAACAATTAAGTCCCTAAAGCATATTAAAACATTTTGGATCACTTTAGGCCAAAAGCAAATTGAAATATAATATGAACAACATAAGACATGGGTTTTGTCACATGGTGCTAAAATGTGAGAAACCACAATCATGTTTAGAACAGTGTCAGTAACATGCAGTTAAACATTGCTAATAATGAAAGATGTTAGACAGCATGAACCAAGCGTACATAGGGATAATGGATAAATGGCAGTGATTTTAAGGAAGGAATGTAATGGTTTAGAACAGTACAACAACAACTTGCACTTATATAGCACCCTCCATTCAGGGTACAATTTCAGCGAGCTTAACAGTGGCAGAGCCGGGGATGTGGGTGGGCTGTAAGCACGGTCGAAGAGGAAGGTCTTCAGGAGGGACTTGCAAAAGAGGAGGGGCCAAGGCGGAGGGATTGAGGAGAGTGTTCCTGAGTTTTGGTGCGTAGTGGCTGAAAGTGTGACCTCCGATGGTGGGCCGGGACAAGCAGGAGGCTGGTACCGTCGAGCGGAGGCGCCTGGTGGTGGATTGGGGAGTGAGGAGGTTGGAGAGGTAGGGAGGTGCCAGAGAGTGAAGGAATTTGAAAACAAGTTTGAGGATCTTGAATTCGATCCGTTCGGTGATGGGGAGCCAGTGGAGCCTGGCCAGAACTGGTGAGATGTGGGTACAGAGTTTGGTCAGGGTCAGTATGCAGGTGGCAGAGTTCTGAATGAGCTGGGGGGAGACCGGCAAGGAGTGCGTTTGAGTAATCTTGTGTTGAGTCAGAGTACACTGTGATTGGATTACAGTCGTGTGATTACTCCAAGTAGTTAACATTCTTTGTGTCTTTTTCATCTTTTGATTCAGAAACAATTGCTTTAAGCAATAAGTTTAATGACTACAATGTTATATATACCCCTTCACGCAAAGAATAAAAGTCCTTACGTTTGGTACAGCTCCTTTCATGTCAAGAGGACGCCCCACAGGATATATTGTAAAGTGGAGTGACTACATTTGTGGAAAGCGGCAGACAATTTACTCACAGCAATGTCCCACAAACAGCTATGAAGTGAAGGACCAAGTTTATTTGGAATTTGCTGGCCAGGACCCTGGGAGAAACAACGTTCTCCTTTTGAATAGTCCTATGGAATCTTTAATATCCAGCTGAACGGGCAGTTTAACGTCTCGGTTTAATACCTAGTCCAAAGGATCGTGCCTCCAGCAATGCGACACACTGGAGTGTCAGCTCGTACAACATAAGTTCCAAGTCCTTGGGGCTTGAATCATAACCTTCAGTCTCAGAGGTGAGAATATATAAATATTTATGACCTGAAAGTTTCGCTACCAAAATGTCTAGGATTAAAATACAGGAGACAACTTAGACACTGGAGGGAGAAAAGTTAGAAAAATAATTTCTACATTTTTACAATTATGGTTAATAATGCATTTCATAAATCAAGAATAAATCATCAGTCTAAATCACAGTATCCTCTTAAAAACTCTAAAACCCCTCAAATTCTGGGAACTGGTAACCACAACTGCTACTTGCAGGGAGTTCCAGAGATTCAGGACTTAGTGGTTGAAAGCACAGCCGCCGATCATGGAGCAGAAGGGACGAGGGGTGTGCAGAAGACCTGAGCCAGCTGAGCAAAGGCGGCAGGCAGTGGATTGGGTGTGAACAGATTGGAGAAGTCAAGAGGATACAGGGCATGAAGCGATTTGTAAGTGAGAGTGAGAATCTTAAAATCTATCCATTCTGCAAAAAGCCAGTGGAGCCTGGCAACAACTGGGGTGATGGGGGTACAGAGCCTGGTGAGGACATGTGTTACAGAGATGTGTATCATTTTGACCTTGTTTATAGTGGAGCTATTATAAACTGGTGAGGGAAGACAGGCAAGAAGTGCATTTGAAAAATCAAGGCGGGAGGTGACAAAAGCATGAATAAGATCAGGTTGAAGACAGGCGATGTGGCAGAGGTGGAGGAAAGCAGTCCTGATAAGAGACCGGATGTGGGGAAGAAAGTACAGTATACTTTAAATACTCTATACTCTGAAGACATAACCATTTATAAGTTATTAGAAACTTTTTGAAATGTGTATATATACATTTATAATACAGCTCACTTTTTCAGATAATTTATTGAGGCTTACCTTGCACACAGTCTCAATATCCCAAGGCAAAATTGTTTTCAAATCAATTACTTCACATGACACTCCAAGCTTCTCCTGCGCCATGGTGGCCACCTCTCGCATAACATGAACCTGCAAATGAATTGTATTCACTATAAAAAGTCCTTAAGAAAGTGGTTGAGTGGAAAGCATCAATTAAAGTTATAAGCATTATTAAATCAGTGGACGGATATTTTAAAAATACAGTTATTTCTACTTTTGTTTTCATCTTTAAATTAAGAATAGCACCACTTAAAAGACAGACAAAAACTGCATTGAAGCACAAGGTACCCAACTCAATAAAATTATGTCAGATTTGCTTATTTGTGCACAATCAAAATTTTAGGTTGTGCAATGTCTAAACTTAACAACCCTAAAAAGGGCTCACATTCCACTAACTCCACTAGCAGCTGCTAATAGAGAAAACATCAAAACAATGTTTGTTACTGTTTGTTTCTTCAATTCGTGAAGATCCAGTCCTGCGTCAATAATCTATCCATAACATCATCAGACCCATACATTCAGAAGAGCAATACAACAGCATCAGTGTGATATTATAATTTTCCACATTCGTTGTGGCTCTTCTGAATGGACACTTTGAGTGGGATTTACTCTCTCAAATCTGATTTATAAGCAGCTCTATGCTCACTCACTCAAATCCAATTTATAAGCAGCTCTATGCTCTGACTTCCTGGCCAACAGGAAATAAATCAATATTTCCAAAACTAATTTCATGAGAATCTTCACTTGCAACAAAGGGAGCCTTTTCTTTGCAATCAATCAGACTGGATTCAAACACATGTATCAAAGTGTTATAAACACTGTGCCAGTGCTCCTCCATGATTTTTACTTCAGTAAACTTCAATTCAACTCTTCCAGAGCTTTGGGTAAATTTACTTGTTTGGTAATGAGACCACTGATGGCATATTTTTGCTATTGATGGAAATTATACAACAAAAGCTGATCTAGTCATGTATTTATGATGCATCCATATCAATTGCTCACTGTTCAATCGGTGTGCAAGCGAGGATAGCCCATGGGAGTCAAGAAATATCATGGTCCATAACTTACAGACACAGAGTCCTGTAGCTCAGTGGTTAGAGCACTCGCTTCACAAACAAAAGACCTGGGTCGATTCCCAGCAAAGCGAAATGTTAGGCAAGTTTCCTTACTCCACATGTCTCTGTTTATCTAGCAGTAAAATAGGAACCCGGTGGTTAGTCAATTGATGGATCGCTTTTCCAGGGGTAATAATACCTTCAAGTAGAATATAGTAGTAATAAATTGGTCACTTCAATCCATGAATGTTTGTGGGACACTGCTGTGCGCAGTTGGCAGCCGCGTTTCACCCACAAAAATATACAGTCAAGTCACTTTACAGTATATTCTGTGAAGCTCTTTGCGACATCTCGAAGATGTAATAAGGCACTATATCAAATGCAAGGATTAATATTATTATTATCCTCTTTATAACCTACTGTACTAAGGACATTATAACTGAATTCATCTGTATTATTATAGTAATTGTTGTTTCTATAGATTTTTTGAGGTGTAATTCAATCTCAAGGGTACAAAAAAAAATACAGTAAAACAATTCAACATAATGCTGAATACACACGCAACAATCCATAGGAAAATCATATCTGATGAGAATTTTGGAGCATTGTAGCCATAGGGTACTCACTCTCTTCATTTACCCTCCGTACCCTCCATCAAGATTAGGCTATCATCTGACAGGAGAAAATATAATAATAATAATCCTTGCATTTGATATAGTGCTTTTCACAGCGTTTCACAGAATATACTGTAAAGTGAATTGATTGTACATTGGTGGGAGAAATGCGGCAGCCAATTGCGCACAGCAGTGTCCCATAAACAGTCGTGGATTGAAGTGACCAATTTATTATTGTTTTTTTCTTGAGGGACTGTTATCAGGCGTGTGGAGTAAGGAAACTTGCCCAAGGTTTCGACCTGCCGGGAATCGAACCCAGGTCTCTCACTTGCGAGGTGAGTGCTCTAATCACTGAGCTACAGGACTCCTGTAGGCTTTTAAAATCATAACCACGGCCTTATTAAGATCCACATATCTTTGTCTACTTCTATAGTGCATATAAGCCTGAGTAACTTAAAAAGGAAAGTATATAGGCTATCAATTTGATGTAAACTAATCTCATCCTATCTTAAGCAACGTCTTCATATTTCAATTAGGCACAGCACCAACCACCTTTCTCCAAAATTAAGTTATTTCTATCACTCTGTCTCTGCCAACGGTTTATCCTCCAGCCCCCCCCCCCCCCCCCCCCCCCCACTGTCACCTGCAGTGTCCCCAAGGCTCTACCTTTGGTCCCTCCTTTGTTTCATTAACATGCTTCCTCTCGGTGATGTCATCTGCAGACATAGGGTCAACTTCCAGACCTATGTGGAAATCTACTTCTCTTCCCCCAGTCATGTCCAAAGATCCATTGATGTTCTGATCACTTGATTTTCAGACATCAAAGCCTGGATGAATGCCAACATTCTGCAGCTGAATGTCGACAAGACAGAAGCCATATTCGCTGGCTCCTGTCAACATCATCTCACCTACTGCTCTGACCTTCTTAAACTCCATGGCCCATCCTTCAGACTCACCTAGTTTTGATCTCTAGATGTCCTTCCTGACACATCCAGCCCCTAAGCAGGAATGCTTTTCTCGACTTCTGTCACATCACCTTCTTCTGACAATACCTCACATCCATTGCAGCTGAAACCCTTATTTACCACAACAACAACTTACATAGAGACCTTCACAAGTGGTAGTGTCTCAGAGCAGCATTACTTTCTGCCTCAATTTTTCCAATGCCCTTCTGGTTGGTCTCTCCAGCTCCACCATTCACAAAAGATATTTAATCCAAAACTCCACCACCCATATCTTCACCCCTATTAAACTCCAGACCCCCATTACCCAAGTCCTTGCCAGTCTGGCCTCCTGCATTTCCCTCTTTCCTTATGCTCCACCACTGGCAGTCATGCTTTCAGCGTATACACTCCAAGACTCTGAAACTGTCTGCCTCAATCTCTCTGTCTTGCCCTCTCCTTGTCTGTCTTCAGATCACACCAGATCACCTTCCCCTTCAACTATGCCTACGGTCACCTCCCTCTCTCTGCCTGGCTGAAGACAAATGTAAGGAGACAAAAAATATCAATTCAGAAAGGACCAAAAGGCACGAAAGGAGGGTCAAAAATATGGGTCAAGATAGAATTTTTTAATATTGTGGCATAAATCTATTCTCCGACACAATAAATAAAAGTGACAACCCCAAAGTCAGTATACTTGTACTATGATTCACTCCAAATGTCTGCCTCTTTCTTGTATTTAATATTATTCATGTTTGCAGCTCAGTTTAATCAATCTCCTGAGCACATTCCAGTGAACCTTGCTTTAATTAAAGTTGTGTTCAATGTAGAGCTGTTAAAAAGATCAAATTACTTGAAAAAGTAGTTATTGAAGCTGAATGTTGTGTTGCTTCCAACTTAAAACATTACTGTTGGAAAGACTAAACTGAAATCAAATAATCAATGCCAGCTCTGCAATAAAAAGCCAACATACAATACCAATTCAAAATGAGATAAATTTCAGCTCTAAATTGAGTTCACATGAGACCTGAATAAACTACTCAAACATATGTCTGCTACATAAGTGGGAGAGTTATCAAAAGTAAATATATAATTTAAAAAAATGTATTTGTTATAGTGCCTTATCACGTCTTTGAGATGTCTCACAGTGATTCACAGAATATACTGTAAAGTGAATTGACCGTATATTTTGTGGGTGAAATATAAATCGCAAGAGTACTTTTCTTTACTCTGTCTTGAGACTTTGGGAATGCTGGCATTTTAGCTAATGGGGAAAAGAGGGAACACATCGCAAAGAAAAAAATTGCCAAAGAGAAACTTTAAATGGTTCAAACTAGTTATGGATTAGTCACGTAGATTAAGTGAAAGAAGAGAAATACAAAAATAGTGAAATGCCACTGATAACATGAGAGAATAAATGGAAGGAATCCCAAATGTTATGTACAGGATCAGATTCTAGAAGATGTACAGAATCCTAAGACTACCCTAAGAGAAAAGGGTGATATCCTCGATTTGAACATTAACATATTCATTTTTATTTCTAAAGGATAAATAAATGTAAGACATTTTGATATTTCTTATCACATTAAAGACTTGAGTAGAAAACAAGTTTATTTCTAGAGGGAGAAACCTGGAACATGAGACTCTGGTGAAATAATTAAGCATTTGGAGCAACAAAGTACATCTGGTAAATGTTCCCTGATATAATACCCCACTGGCTTTAAAGTATAAACTCGATGAACTGAGTAGCACAGCAAAATGTCAGCAATATTCAGAACAAAGATGTATTATATAGGAGAAAGGGTAATGAGTCCCCTCACATGAATAACAGGAAATTAATATATATTATCTATTAATAATAAGAGCAAAACTGGTAAGCAACAGATTAGAATCTGAACATAAGAACATAACATATGAATTGCTAGATGAAAGAAGACCAACGTCTATCCAATTTGCTTTCCACCATCCTGGCAGTCGCATTTACATGTCATGTCCCAAACTATATACCGTAGCCCAAGATTTTTTAAAAAAAAGAAATCTATCTAATTTGCTTTTGAAAGAATCGACACTTTCTGCTTCCACAGTCTCCCTAGGGAACCTGTTCCATACATTTACTATTCACTCACTGAAATAGAGTTTCCTCAGATTTGTTTTGAATTTACCCTTCTTCAATTGCAGGCCATGTCCTCTGGTTCTACTTTCTGGACAAGATGAAACAACTTATCATTTCACCTTTGAATAGGCAAGAGGATGGGTTAGAATGTAGATCTGGAAAAGATTGTATATATAACATGGGGCAAGACTCACAATGGAGAATTTGAAGATGAGGATCTTAAACTCAATTATCTAAGGTACTGGGAGTCAATGGAGTTTGGTGAAGACGGGGTTAAAGAAATAATAACAACAATATAAAAATAATCCTTGCATTTGGCATAGTATCATTCATGTAAGAACATATTGAAGCAGTTTGCAGTATATACTGTAAAGTGGAATGACTGTGTGTTGTGTGAGCGAACATGGCAGCCAATTTGCACGAAAGCAATGTCCCACAATCAGCTATGGATTGAATGACCAATTTTATTTGGGGTTTGTTGGTAGTCCACACTGAGCAAGTGTGAGCCTCTGATGTACAACTTTAAACTGCTTAAAATGGATCACTCGTGATCATATACTGATAAAATTATTATTAACTATAACAGTCTATTTACATTTACAATTTTCTATTGTAACAAAAGTTGTATTTGTTTTTCCTTGGTGTACTAATTCATACTTTGGGTTGGATTGCAGAGCAATTAATAACCAGAGGATCAAATAAAACATTTTTGTGTAAAGTATGAAATGAATTGTTGACAATAATTAAACGTATTAAAATCAGCCTAGCGTAAATAATGCAACTCTTGTTCAGGTGTAAATGTATGTCCCACTCCAATATTTTTTTTGTAGTTGTCAAATAATCACAACAGAATTTATGTACAACAAAATATTTATGTAAAATTCCTTGGGGGACTCAAGAGTATACTAATTTATTCCTCTGCAGTTATTAAAGTCAATAAAAATGACCTGAAATCTTCCAATCCATTTCACATCTTGTTTTTCTAACCTAAGGCAGTAAGATTTCCCTACATTCCTTGTCCATCTGTGTGCACCTGAGATCATTACATTTGCATTGATAACATTTGGTAATTAGATAAAAGCTGACATTTCAATATTGAATAATTCTCTTTTAAAATTGTCCAACTAAATCTGACTTCCTGCTTTGACCATGCAATTGGTCTTCTTCCCTTTTCCCCCCCACCCTGATCTGGTTCCCAGACAGCTGTGTAAAGTGCTTTATGACATCCTCCCAACATGAAAAGCACTATATTAACATAAATTTAAATGTGCCAATCATGGATAGAGAAGCAGTAAGGTTTGATAGCCATACTTCATTTACTGAATTAGGGAAGAGCTCCATGTAGAGCACTTCATTATAATCTGGATTCACTTATAATGTGATTGGACTGCGGACCCTGACATTTTCTTACCTAAAAATGTAAAATCCTGACTTGCTATCCAAATTATTTGCCGCACGCCAAATCAGGCTTGAAATCCTCGATACATTTCAAAATGCACCAGCGCAACAACAGAGTTTGAAGCGCGATGCTGCATTTTGAAGCATGACAATGTGAATTCAAGTGTAATGCACATTGTTAGAGCCAGTTGGCTTTCTGCACACATCTGCAATGAGGTGAGCAGTCATGTCATCAGCAGTGCCATGATGTAGAGTTGCTGACCGGCAGACCTTGCTCCTGATCATGCCCCGTTATACGATGTAGTGGAATCCGCCTCATTATAATGAGGTTTTATTGTATGCTTTTAAGCATAAAGTGAACAACATTGATGTCACGCAGAGGAACATTTACTTGCCTTGAAGTGACAATTTTACATAGCTCATTTTTACTAATTCTCTCCCTGGCGATTTAAATGTCACTTTATTTAGCACAGCATGCACTAATTTCTATTCTCTGCCTTTCAAAATCATTGTGCCCTGCAGGGTATGTATTTACATGAAGTTTAATGGACTCCATGGGGAGCTTCAAAGGATAAAATAAATAGATACTGACCTGGGTTCCCCAGGCAACTAGTGTAACATCACTTCCCTCCTGGAGCACTTCTGCTTGAGAAAGCGGGATATGGTAAGCCTCCACAGGAACTTGCTCCACTGAGTGAATTAATAAAAATAAAGAAGAACAGATTAGTTTGTATACATCTCGACAACACAACTACCACTTGGGAGATTATTTTAATTTTATACATTTGTAATGGAAAATTCATGTGGTGATGCATTTATTCCAGTTGCAACCACAAGCTTTTAAGTTATACACTTAACAAGACAAACATATTATTCAAATAACATACATTATGCAGGAGATAGTTTAGGCTAGTAACCCCTGAATATGTTTGGGAAGCAGCTTTTGACTCTTAAAGTGATGGGGTGTAGCCACACTATGTGCAAACCAATTTTAGACATCCTCAAAGCGTGAAAAGCACTACAATATTAGAAATTATTGCTGTAATAATAGCTCACATATATAAATATTCATGAATGCACACTACTGATTGTTTTATGTCAGAAGAGGGAAGGTGTTTTATACTTTTTATACTTTTCTACAATGTAGGGATAGAATCAGATAAGGAGACAGGCATAAAGAGAGATAAAAAGAGAAAGCTAGAGTGAGAGAAAGGCAAAGTGAGAGAGATAAAGTTTGAGAGTGGCAGAGAGAGAGAAGAGCTGCCGACAGTGATACGAGAGTGAAACTATAATTCCTGTTGAACTGTATATCTCATAATGTCCAATTATCCGCATTGTTTGCTTATCTATATCGGGGCAGGACTCAATTAGTAAGATTAATCTGCTCTCCACTGTACTTCCAGTTTGCATTCCCTTAAATAAAAGGATCAAAATCATTAGAACAATCAGAATAAAAAGATCAGAAAAGGAAAGGAAATGTGAAAGGAAATTTAAACCAAGGATCACAGGATCAGAATAGGCGCCAGTTGATACAATACACGTGAACAATAACTTGAAAGTGAAAGTGACGAACTTGAAATTCAAATTAGTAGAACAAAAACAAGTAGAGACTGAGCAAAATTAGACAGAAAAAAAGTGAAATCGGGTATGTGCAAAGTGAACAAACCCCAAGAACTGATAATAAAAACAAATGCTAGTCATTTTGTAGCCATTTCACGGATAAGCATCACTATCTATCACACTATTACAACACTATCTAAGGCCCACATGGAAAATAAGACAGCACTGCAGTGTACAGAGAGCTTTTTGAGGATAGGAAGTTTAATTTGTGACTTGCAAATGGCATTTTTTTTGTGTGATGCCACAGTGCTGTCTTGTAGAATCGGCCCCTTAGTGTATGTGGGAGAATTAAGCAGGACTAGCAAGCTGGAGCGTTACAAATGCTTTTGTGTTGACGCAGATGGTCACGTAGGTAAAGTAGGAGAAAGTACTCAATTAGTCATTCTTTTTAGGAATTCAAGTCTGCTGAGGTAGCACTTGCATGCCTTTAAAATATTTAAGTTCTTGAAAAAAATTCCAAATCGGGATTCATCCACAGAGTTCATAATGTAGGGAGAATGACTATGAAAGGGAAGGCAGAAAACTCATTAAAGTATAATTAGCAGTTGAATGGCGGTGCGAACAAATGACTCCAGAAATTTGGAAGTACAAACTGTAAAATAATATTAATAATTCTTGCATTTGATATCGCGCTTTTCACGTCTTCCAGACATCTCAAAGGGCTTCACAGAATAGACTGTAAAGTGAATTGACTGTAGATTGGTGGGCGAAACATGGCTGTCAAATGTGCACAGCAGTGTCCCACGAACAGTCGTGGATTGAAGTGACCAATTTATTTATTTATTTTTTTCTTGAGGGATTATTATCAGGCGTGTGGAGTAAGGAAACTTGCCCAATGTTTTGCCCTGCCAGGAATCAAACCCAGGTCTCTCACTGTGAGGTGAGTGCTCTAACCATTGAGCTACAGATCTCCACAAATGAGGTCCAAAACCTTTTTGAGGGGGACGGTGGATGATTAAGATGATATCTAATGTATTTATCTGTGAATGCCAAGCTTGGAATCCTTTCTAAATATTCTACATAATGGTATAATGGTATATTCACTAGGAGAATTGGAACCTTAAAAAATGTTCTCTCAACGTTATTCTAACATGGAGTCCTGTAGCTCAGTGGTAAGAGCACTTGCTTTGCAACTGAGTTCAATTCCAGGCAGGGCGAAACCTTGGGCAAGTTTCCTTACTCCACACGCCTAATAATAATCCCTCCAAAACCAAAAACAATAATAAAAATTGGTCATTTTCAATCTACGACTGTTTGTGGGACATTGCTGTGCGCAATTGGCTGCCGCGTTCGCCCACAAATATACAGTCAATTCACTTTACAGTGTGTTCTGTGAAGCGCTTTGGGACGTCCTCCCGACGTGAAAAGCGCTATATCAAATGCAAAGATTATTATTATTATTATTAACATTGTAAAGCATGCCACACTGCCACCATCTGTTAAAAATACAGATAGCGTCACAAAAATTAAAGCCATGTACGCCTCAAAACAAAAAGCATAGAATGAAAAACATCCATTTGACCATCACTGTTTCTGGAACACACAAATCCTTTCCTATCGCGAACTCCATAACATCCACTATCACCTGGTGAGAAAATTCTAGATTATCATTAAGATAATAAAATCTGTTTGTTTGATAATGGTAAAACTGCAGAATACTTATCCATCCTCATAACTGCATTATAGAACCATAGCTTATTTCCTTTCACAGACATCATAATCATAATAACCCTTTCATTTGATATAGCGCCTTGTCACGTTTTTGAGGCATCTCAAAACGCTTCACAGAATTGACTGTAGATTTTGCAGACGAACAGTTTCTGAAGCTCCCCCATTTAACCTGCTGACACCCAGTTTAAAATGAATACAGGAGGCCAACTAGCTACCAGGAAATTGTAATAATAAATTTTTCACAGCACCTTTCACATCAGACAGAAGTTTCAAAAATCTACACAAGATTCACTGTAAAGTGTAGTAACTGCATTTTGTAGCAAATTTGCACAGCAATATCCCCAAACAGCAATGAAGTAAATGATCAATTTTATCCAGAGGAATGTTGGCTGGGACACTGGGGGAAATGCATTTCCCTTTTAGAATAATTCCATAAGATTTTTAATATCCACTGGCAAATAGGAACTTAGTTCAACGTTTCATCCAAAGGATGACACCTCCAACAACGCATTACTCCCCCAGCACTGCACTGGAGTATCAGCCTGCACAATATGAGTTAAAAATTCCGATGTAGAGCTTATTGAGTCCACAACTTTCGGACTCAATAGCAACTTACATTTACATAGCACCTTTCACGTAGGACAACGTCTTGGAGCACTTTACAATGTTGGGGTCACATGCCGAGTGCGGGAGAGGGGAAAAGGGGAGAGGGCTACAGGCATAGTCTAAGAGGTAGATTTGAAGTCGGGAATTAATGACAGGTAGGGAAGGGGTAAGATGGAGGAGTAGAAAGATGGTGTTTCAGAGGGCACAAAGTTTAGGGGCACAGAATCTGAAAGCTCAGTCATTGATGGTGGCACGGAGAAGGCGGGGTCCCGTGAATCAAGTCAGAGTTCGCCAAGAAGAGGGAGTAGGAGAGTTGAGAGAGAGACCAGGGAGATTCAGGAGGTCAGAGCCAGAAGTGGGGAGACATTGGCAGGAGCCAAATGCTTCCATTTTGCCCATATTTAATTGCAGAATATTGTAGCTCATCCAGGTCTTGATCTCTGACAGGATTAGTTCATCAGTGGACCTGAAATCAAAATTAGAAGTGGAAAAATAGATTTGGGAGTCATCTGTACACATATGGAAGTTAACTCCCTGTCTGTGGGTGATTTTTTTTGTTCTAAATCCAAGCCATGACCTCGATTAATAATCCTAGCATTTGATATAGTGCCTAATCACATCATTAAGATGTCTCAAAGCGCTTCACAGGATATACTGTAAAATATAGATATTATATATATATACTGTGTGTATTTTTGTGGGCAAACACAGCAATTTTCACACGGTAATGTCCCACAAATAGTCATGCAATGAATGGTCAATTTTATTTGGGGAATTATTGGCCAGGAAACTCCATTATCAGTTATCACTTTGTATAAATGCAATTTGTTGTCCCTAATTTATCTCTCAAAGAGCCACACTGCCATCTAACATGACAACTGATGGCATATCTAAAATTACAGGAAATTTAAAGTCAGACTGCTCTGAAAGAAACGTTATGAATGAAATGTTGATGCAAAATACCTTTCACTCACTCACCCAGCATCTTTTTATTAAAACAATCACGCACACAGAATAAAAAAAAGTTATAATAAATTAAACATTATGGCAGTTGGGTAGGCACATCATGTCTGCAAGCATGTGGGAACTGATCCTGTGGGGTTTGTGGCTGGGGAATGGTGCAGAATAAAAAAAGGGAAATTGTAACTAAATGGAAGGGATTTTTTTTAAAAAAGTGTTAAAAACACGAATAATGATTTTACTGAAGGTTAATTAATCCCTCTTCATTACACACTTTTCCCCTAGATTTACATAACTTCAAGGAAAAAATATATAATGCTTTCAACTACAGAATACTATAAATAGAATGCCCAAACTTTACACTAAGTGATATTATCCTTAATAATAATCCTTGGTTTGATACATCTTATTCCTGTCAAAATGTCTCAAAGTTCTTCAGAGTTTTCTGTAAAATTATAGGTGCTATGTATTTGTAGAACAACCAATTTGCCCACAGGAATGTTCCAGAAAAAGCCATAATGGGAATGATCAATCTTTTCGTAATCATAAGGCGTATTTTAAACATTTTCTCAGGAATATATTTTCCAAACAAATGCTTGAAACCAATTAGTTTTAGTTTCTAGTCCGTAGTTTTACACCAATCCAAATCATACAAATAATAAAGAAATGAGACTTGATCGTATATTTTATCGCCATGTGGTTTGAACTGGCATGGTTCCTGCAAGTCTATAAAACTTAACTTTGTGACTCAGAGGAACAAAATGTACTGCTGTAGGAATGTAGCTGCTGCAGCTAACGAAAATACCCACTGGGTCACAACTGTAACCAATCCA